GGTATCATCGTCATCACTGTGTTGTGCAAATGCGTGACCGTGCTCAATGCAGTGTCAAGTGCCGCGTCCGTGCCGAGTTCTGTGCTGTATCGCGAATTCAGTCTTGTCGGCATCGTGCGACCACGTGCGGCGTTCCGCACCTGTTGCGCAGAGTGTCCGCCGTTCTTCTCGCTCTCCGTGCGATTCCACCTCTCTCGCCTGTGTGCGAGACGCGAGTGCAGCACCCGTTCCTTCTCTCTCGCTCGCGTGTGTACCGGTTGATTTCTCGCTCTCTTTCTCGTTCGCGTGTGTGCTGCCTTTTCTTGCTCGCGTGTGATTCACCGCTCTCTCTCGCTCGCATGCGATCGGCCATATAGTTCCCTCTCGCTCGTGAGCGATTGCATCATCCGCGACACCTTTTATCCGTGTCCTACATCCGTTCCGTTTAGTCTTAATCTGCGTGTTCTGCGTTTCTCTTTCGCGTGCGCTCCGTTTTATCCGCGTCCGCGCTTTATTCTCGTCCGTGTTATGTCTCGTCATTCGTCTGCGTCTCTCTGGTCCTATCTGCGTGCATTACTTTTATCACATTGCGTTCTGCATGCAGCAGCTGCCCGCGATCTCTTGCGTTTCGCGAGCGTTCTGCGTCACGCAGCGTGCATTTTCCGATGCTCCGCCTTTTCTTGCGAGCGATCGTTTCAGCGTTTTTTCTGCTTTCTTCATCGTTTCTAATCTCGAACGTTCCTTCGCATCTGCGGCATGATGGAAGGAATACATGATGTGCGCAGTTCGACAGTATCTCTTTCTAAATATCTGCGCTCTCCGTCTATTGACGACTTGTAGTAGGCAACAGCTATCAATTATGAAACGCGAATATATTTCGCGCCGAAAAGGTGCTATGCTGAATCTCTTCTTGTTTCACACACTTTATAATGCATCGTAGTTTCTCTTTCTAATCTTCCTGATTTCTGTCTTAAATTAAATATTGAATAAAAAATTAAATAAACAATGACAGTGTTGATAACCAATATAGAATAATTTATAATCTTGGGAGAATTTTTCAGCCGAATGATCATTCTTTCGAACTTCGAATCTTTATGATATGCATGAAAAAAATGATTACAGATTAAATAAATATTTTGATACTTTGCGTGTAAATAATAACAATAAATCTTAAAATACTATATGTAATAATTACAAAAATTACAATAAACTTTTTTTATGACATTTTAAACGGTTTTTTTTTCTTAAAACAGCATGACTCCGATAAACATTTGGAGTATTTTGGAATTCACATGTATTCTGTGGCCATTTTGCTGAGAATAAAGAAAATTTGCATTAAAAAAACAAAAATAACATACATTTATGCAATATTTATAAAAATATTAACACTAACTTGAAACATAAGAGTACAAAATACAAAGTACAAAATACAAAATACAAGAATATGAAAGAACAAATGAAATTTATTATATAGATTTATTATACAACATATATCGTGTACAACATATATTCTATAATTTTTGTTTAATTGTACTTGAAATGATTTTTTTCATTTTTTTCTGTTTTTTCTTTGTATCCTTTATTAATCGTCTATTTATTTCTCGAACTCTTATGTACTCTAATAACATTCGTCTATTCTGAGAACGTTCCACGGGATATCATACAAATATATTCGAGATATTCTCCGAACATTCGAAATATGTACTGCGATATACCGTGGAATGTACTTAGATCGTTAGTACCGTTCACTAACCTAATCCCTAGTATGTACTGGAGAATATCCCGCAGTATGGTCATAGGATGAAAATGGTTAAAAATAATATATCATGTAGGGCATGCAAGAGTAACCCAGACAGCCATATAGATATGAAAATCTATACGTGACACCTCTTACGGAAAATAAAGTGAAAAAAATGAAAGAAAGTAATGAAACATTTTTTATCTTGTATCATTGGAATGTTTCTAAAACGGTCACCCATCCTTCTTGGGATCCTGCTCGATGCTGCTTAACTTCTATAATGAGATGAAACTTGAAATGATGATATAAATGAACACGGAAGTTTGATATAAAATATGATCTAGTGAATATGATAGATCTAGTTAATGAACCCTAATAGCACATGATTCGAATATTCTACACTCGTACTGAAAGTACTGTGATCATACTATTGCCTAATATATTAGAGAACATTCAACATGACATCTTGATGACATATCATTTCTCGTATATTCTTAAACCCATCTTCAGAATATATTAGGTGTACAAAAAAGTTCTGAGCTTTAGATTTCATGCAACCGAGATAACAATTTAAATTTTATATATCTTCTCGCCCTTTTGCGGTTTTAAAGCGTTGACATTTGGCCTTCTAAAATGCCATACGGTTTGGCGTTTGATGCACATAACATCAAAAATCAGTAATGTTCATGATGGCAACAAAAGAACATATTCGATTTTCCATCCACTTCGCGTTTCATCTAAAAAAAATGCTGCTGAAGCCACTACAATGATTTGTGCTGCATATGGAGAGAACGCTGTAAGTCATACTACATGTAAAAAATGGTATCAAAAATTTCGCCAAGGAGATTTCAGTCTTGAAGATGAACCGCGTGCTGGACGCCCTCAAAAGATTGAAACGGACGAATCGCAAGCACTATTGGATATAATCTCTGCCCAAACTGAAAAGGAGCTTGCAGAACAGCTTGGCGTTACGCAGCAAACCATTTCCGTACGTTTACATACGATGGGATAGGTTCAGAAGGAAGGCAGATTCCGCATGAATTGTCCGAAGATAACAAAAATCGTCGACGTGACACTGCATTCACTTTGCTTTCAAAGTTCCGGAAAATTTTCTGCACAAAATCATTACAGGCGATGAAAACTGGATTTTTTATGATAACCCTGTATATGTGTGTATGTCATTGTATTGTTGACTTGTTGTTCTAAACACGTTATTGCGATAAATATCATCACATGCCTGATAGTCGAAAGGATAAGATGCCTGCCCGGTAAACAGGAGATCCAGGTTCGATTCCTGGCTGAGGTGATATTTTTTCGCAAAATAATTACGAGTTTTCACGACTGGTTCGTGATCGGGTCTCGCCGTGATGCACACCCTCTCTTCTTATTTGGGGAATTAAATTATTTTAAATAAGATTTTAAATAAGCCCAATATCCACAGAGCCTCAACATCCAAAAAGATTTTGCTCTGTATCTGATGGGATTGGAAAGGTGTGTTGTATTACGACTTGTTACAACCGGGTGAAACAATCACGGCAGACTGTTACCAACAACAATTGACCAATTTGAGCGATACATTAGAAGAAAAGAGGCCATTTACTGATCAAGGACATCGTAAAATGATCTTGCTTCATGACAATACTCGAGCACATGTTACGAAAGCGACTCAGGACCATATCTTTGCGTTAGGCTGGGAACTTCTCCCGCACGCGGCGTATAGTCCAGACATGGCGCCTTCCGATTATTACCTATTCCGGTCGCTGCAGCATCATTTGGCTGATACACATTTCGTGAGATTTGAAGAGATATGAAAATGCATTGATGACTTTATCGCTTCCAAGCCGGTGAGCTTTTATCGTCAAGGAATTCGCAAGCTACCCGAAAGATGGTAAAAGGTCGTTGATGCAAACGGGAAATATTTCGCTGATTAATATTTTTTTTGTTTGTTTTTGAATAAAGATTGAATTTTACAAAAAAAGCTCAGAACTTTTTTGTACACCTAATACTTTAACAGTATATGATATACGAATATTCTGTATTTATACTGAATGTTATGACGATGATTCGAAGTTATTTTTTGTCATTTTGACGTTTAGTGTAAAAATAATGACGTAAAATAAACGTAACCTTTGTCGCAAAAATTTATCGTCATAAATATCATCATATCATCAATTTTTTTAAAATAATTTTTAAAATAAAATAATAAAAATAATTTTAAATAATAATAAAATAATAAAATTATTAATTATTATCTTTTTTAATTAACTATAATATATAAATAAATAAAATATTTGTCATATTTAATACAATTATTAACAAATTCTTAAAAAAGTAAATAAAATATATACAACAATTTGTAAACAATTTTCATAAGAAAAATAATTCTCATTTAACATAATATAAGTTCATGGCTCTAAATATATAATTAAATTATCTACTTAAGAATTACATGTGCAATCGAAATTTTAAAATTGAAACCATTTATATGACAATATAGTAACATTCATTAACTGGATCTATCATATTTTATGTCAAACTTCCATATTCACTTATATCATCATTTCAGTTGCAAATTTCATCCCATTATAGAAGTTAAGCAGCATCAAGCAGGATCCCAAGAAGAATGGGTAACTGTTTTAGAAACATGCCAATGATACAAGATAAAAAATGTTTCATTACTTTTTTTCATTTTTTTCACTTATTTTCCACAAAAGGTGTCACGTATATTATAAATTTTCACGATCTATGTGACTGTCTGGGATACTCTTATGTATGCCCTACATGATATATTGTTTTTAAACCATTTTCTAAACCATCCTATGACCATACTGCGGGATATTCTCCAGTACATACTAGAGATTAAATTAGTGAGCGATAGTAACGATCTAAATACATTCCACAATATATCGCAGTACGTATTTCGGAGAATATCTCGAATGTACTTATATAATATCTCGTGGAACGTTTTCAAAATAGACGAGTGCTAATAGGGAAAATATTTTTCAACAAT